CGACGACAACGACGAGGGAGGATGGAAGACGACGACGACGACGACGACGACGACGACGGCGACGAAATTGGAGGGACGACGACGAGACGCCGACGACGGACGACGACGACGACGAGGGAGGAGGAGGAGGGACGACCACGGCGACAACGACGACGGAAACGACCACGACGCCAAAGAGGACGACGACGACGAACACGAGGAAAGACAGAGGACGACGTTGACGACGACGACGATGCGGGAGCGCGCGCGCACGCTTTCGTTGAAAATCCGTGTTGCGAAACCTTGTGTTTTTGTTTGTAGGTTTTTTGGCCACGCGATTTTGAAATCCTGCCGAAGCCGATGGGTTTTGAAGGTTTTCGGCACACGCGCGCGACGACGCGCGCGTCTGCACTTCGTCCTGTTTTTTTGCAGAAGATTCTCGCGACGGCACACGCGCAAGGGCGTTCGACAGATTTCGACATGCGCGCGCGCGAAGCCCGTTTGGTAGCACTTTTGAAGATCTTGAACAACTTTTTTTCTTCCAAAAAAAATCCCAAGAGCTCGCGCGTAAGCTTTTTAAGATCACCAGTGTTGCGCAACCCTGTGTGTTTGTATGCTTTTTGTTTGGAAACTCGATTGCGAAATCTTCCGACACCGAAGGTTTTTGAACGATTTCGGCATGCGCGCGCGACGACGCGCGCGTGTGCACTTCGTCCCTTATTTTGCAAGGGATCCGTGACAAGTCTTATGTTCGAACAAGAGATGTCCCCGCGTAGTGTTTTCTTCAAGGGAACCGCAGGGGTAGCGATCCCGGCCCCCCTGGGATAGTGTAGATTCATATTCAGGATGGACATGTGGTCATAATCATATATGATTTACATACCCGAAAAGGGGGGCGGATAACGCCGGGGAAGGGGGGGGTAGATTCTATTATCTTTTCCAGAAAGGAGAATCGATGTCGTGTGACTCGTGTTGAACAATCCACATGCACATGGTGCAGTACAGGTGGTGCAATTTACGTGGTGCCATCTATGATGAACAGTGTATGTGGTGTGACCGATGCGGTGCTATGTACATGCGTATCATAGTGAATGGGCCAGACGGTCATCCAGTGGCCCTGGGCGCGTGGCTGAAGTGAAGTTTTGCGGTGCGGACAGTTGATTTTGCTGTTGTGGTTGTTGTTGAATTTTCATTTCTGAAAGAAGAATATGGTTGATCCCCCCACCGGTGCATATTTTTTTTGATAGGGCAAATCTTGATGCTCAAACTGTGCCCCTGGCCCCCGGGTTACAACAACAACGGCTCCCGCCTAGGACTTCCTCACAATTTTGCCAGGACCCCCGCTCCCGCCCGAGACTTCCTCGCCTTGTTGTTCAGGAAAATCGCGCTCTCGCTTGGAACTTCCTTGCAATCAATTCAGGAATCGCTCTCCCGGCGCTCTGGAGTCGCGCTCTCGCTGAAGACTTGCTCTCGATTTACTGACGAATAGCGCCCTTGCGTTGGAATTTCTTGCAATTTACACGAACGCGCCGCGCTCCCGACACCCAGGCACCCAGGAGTCGCGCTCACGCTGAGGACTCCCTCGCAGATGACCTAGGAATCGGGATCTCGCTGCCCTTTGTGGCCCCGTTGCAGCCCTTCGTGGCCCCCCCGCTTTGTTTCGTGGCCCCGTTGCAGCCCTTAGTGGCCCCTCGCTCCCTTTCGTGGCCCCGTTGCAGCCCTTCGTGGCCTTTCGCTCCCTTTCGTGGCCCCGTTGCAGCCCTTCGTGGCCCCGTTGCAGTCCTTCGTGGCCCCCTCGGTCCTTTTCGTGGCCCCGTTCAAGGGGCATCTCGGGATCCAGCATGATCCCGTCGAGGCGAAGCAGCTGCCAGTGCCGAAGGCCCCGAGCGCTGATTAGGAGAGGCAGCATCGCCTCGCACATTACCAGCTGCGCCGTGGTGCGAGGAGTGCGTCAGGGGCAAGGCTCCCGGAAGGAAGGTGTACCGTATACCCCCCAAAGAGGTACGATCGAAGACGAAGAGGGCGGGTATCGAGGGTTTGGGAAATACGCGTGCTCGGACATTCTAGCACGAGCAGATGAGGGCGAACAGTTTTATTGAATCGCTTCGCTCATTCCGCCGGCCCGTGATATGGCATCGCTGGTTTTTGTCTGTGTGTTCGTTGCCCATGTTGCGCTCTTGGGGGCGGGTGTCGTTCGGACGCGTTGCGTGGGGAGTTTTGATGGTGAAGCAGTTCCCTGGGGGTCGTCTCTCGATGGGGCGAAATAGAGTCGTCGTCAAGATGCTTCTTTGGGGGGCCTCTTGGGGTCTGTTGAGAGGCCGTTCGGGGGCGCCTGGGAGACATGTTTGAAGCCTTCTGGGGCTTCTTTTGGGCCTCCTGGGAGTCTCCTGGGGCCTCTTGGCGACATCTTGGGGCCTCTTGGAGGCCTCTTGGGGCCTCTTTGGGACCTCCTGGGCGCCTTCTGGGACGGAGGGCTCCATTTTTGAGTTCTCGGTATCCCTCCTGAGTCCCTCTTGGGCCCGTCTTGGGGCCTCTTGGTCCGTCTTGGGCGGCACTTGGGCCGTCTTGAGGGCTCTCTTGGGTCGTTTCGGCGCCGTCTTGGGAGCTTCGTGGGCCGTCTTGGAGCGGTCTTGGGGGCCTCTTGGGCCGTCTTGGAGCGTCCGGAAGCCGAAAAAGCCAGAACACAAAAAACATAGAAAAAACCAATGAAAATCAACGATTTTGGCCTCTTGGGGCTCTCTTCGGAGGCCTCTTGGAAGGCTCTTGGGGCGTCTTGGAGGCCTCTTGGGCTGTCTTGGGGGCCTTTTGGGCCGTCTTGGGGTCATCTTCGGCGTCTTCGAGCGCTCTTTGGGCGTCTCGGGGGCCTCTTGGGCAGTCTTGGGGGCCTCTTGGGGCACTCTGAGCGCGCTCTGGGGAGCCTGAGAGGCCGCACCCAGAAGGAAAACCATCTCTGAGTAGACTTGGTCGGGCGGCGGTCGGGCGGCGACCGGGCGTTGGTCGGGGTACTTTTCGCCGGGGGACCCCCAGGGGCCGCCCCGCGCGCGCGAACTAGAAATACTGTTAATACTGTTAACCAGTTACCGGAGATCTTAGCACGCCCTGGCCCGTTGGGCCGGCGAATTCTCCCAGTGCGACCCTACCTAGGAGTTGGAGCCCCTAGGAAAGCAGCATTAGTAGTATGAGTAAAGCTAAGCTAAAGCTAAACTGACGCTAAGCTAAAGCTAAGCTATCGCTAGGAGTTGGAGCCCCTAGGAAAGCAGCATTAGTAGCAACAGTAAAGCTAAGCCAAAGCTAAACTGACGCTAAGCTAAAGCTAAGCTAACGCTACGCTAAGGCTAAGCTAAAGCCAGCATAACACTAAGCTAAGGCTACGGTACAGCAAAGGTAACGCAAAACGAACGCTAAGCTAAGGCTAAGGTAAAGCTAATCTAAAGCTAATATAAAGCTAAGCTAACACTACGTTAAAGCTAAGCTAAAGCTAAGCTAAAGCTAAGCTGCAGCTAAGCTAAAGCTAAGCTAAGCTAACGCTAAGCTAAAGCTAAGCTAAAGCTAAACTAAGTCTAAGCTAAAGCTACGGTAAAGCAAAGCTAACGCAAAGCTAGATCTAAGCTAAGGCTATGGCAAAGCTAAGCTAAAGCTGAGCTGAAGCTAGGATACAACTAAGTTAAAGCTAAGCTAAATCTAAGCTAAACTTAAGCTAACGCTTAGCTAAAGCTAAGCAAAAACAACGCTAACGCTAAGCTAAAGCTGAGCCGAAGCTAAGCTAACGCTAAGCGAAAGCTAAGCTTAAGCCAAAGCTAAGCTAAAGCTAAGCCAACGCTAAGCTAAGCTAAGCTAATATGAGATAACCTAAGCTAAGCTAAGCTAAGCTACGCTAAGCTACAGCTAAGCGAAGTTAAGATGATGCTAAGCTAAGCTAAGCTAAGCTAAGCTAAGATGGTATCAGCAACGCTAAGCAAAGGAGACATACCTGGGGGAACCGCGGGGCGGGGACTGGGGGAACCGCCCGGGGCGGCCTACACTGCCCGCCCCTTTGGGCAAACCAAGTAAGAACCCTCTAGGCAGAGCCTAGGTAGGGAAACATGATTGTTGTTGTTATTGCTGATGTTTGTTAGTTGTCGTCGTCCCCTCCATGACCTGGCCCGCGACCCACCCGTGACCTGTCCCGCGACCTGTCCCGGGAGACACCCGCGACTCGCCCGCGACCCACCCGCGACCCACCCGCAACCCTGTCCGCGACCCACCCGCGACCCACCCGCGACCCATCCGTGACCCACCCCGCGACCCACCCACATGGGTTTACCGAGAAAATCGGTGCTTGCGGCGAGTTCGTTGTGTCATTTGCGAAAATCGGGCGCCTGCGGCGGGCTTCTTCAGAGCCTCGCAGACTGCCGACGTCCCGAAACTGCGGGATGCTGCGTACATTTATGCCAAGGCGGCGGGCGGCGACGAGGTGGCGACGGGGCGGCGACGGCGACCACGGAGCCGCCACACCGCCACGCAGGCCAACACGACGGGCGGCGACAAGGCGGCTACGGGGCGGCGACGGCGACCACGGAGCCGCCACACCGCCACGCAGTCCAAGACGACGGGCGGCGGCAAGGCAGCTACGGGGCGGCGACGGCGACCACGGATCCGCCACACCGCCACGCAGTCCAAGACGGCGGGCGGCGGCGTGGCGGCGACGGGGCGGCGACGGCGACCACGGAGCCGCCACACCGCCACGCAGGCCCAGTTGCTTCTGAACAAACAGCTGAGACCCCCAGGTGTGAGCACTGTCTGGGGAACAAGCTAGAACAACTCGCCATCGGATGCAGTCGATGTTGTTTGTTATGTCAGGGGCTGCGCTAAACATATCTCTGTAGTAACTCTTGTGGCCCCGCTTGAAACATTGCTTGTCCGACAATTAGAATCACGGCACGTCCATTGCCCAGTGATGTTATGTTAGGTCTTGTGTCAGATCTCTTTTGGCAAATTTGTTAGGTAGTCGTCGTTATAATATGTCCTGTATTCCCGTAACAGGTGACAGGGCCACTTGAGAAGAAGACCTGGTGCTGCTCCCACCTCGGTGTGGGTTGCCCGTCGACGCCGAACAAGAGCACCCTCGTCACCAGCGCGACCAGCACGGCGACCTCTGCAACCCGTCTGTTCGATTGCGACGAAGGGTCTTCGAATTGGGAGGTTGCTTGGTCACTGGAGAAGAAGACCTGGTGCTGTTCTTACTCTGGTGTGGGCTGCCCGGCGATACCGAACAAGAGCACCCTCGCTGTCACCACGACCAGCACGGCGACCTTTGCAGCGGATCTGTTCGATTGCGACGAAGGGTATTCGGAGTGGCAGGCTGCTTGGCCGCGAGAGAAAAAGACCTGGTGCTGTTCCCACTTTGGTGTGGGTTGCCCGTCGAGTTCGAACAAAGAAACCGTCGCTACCACCGCGACCAGCACGACGACTTCTGCAACGGACCTGTTCGATTGCGACGAAGGGTCATCGAATTGGGAGGTCGCCTGGCCACGCGAAAAGAAGACTTGGTGCTGTTCCCAAGGTTCTGGTTTGGGCTGCGATTTTACATCGACTACCATCACCACTGCGTTTGACTGTGCAGCAGGATATTCAAATTGGCGGGAGACTTGGTCGAGATACAAGCGGGACTGGTGTTGCGAGAATTTCCACCTCGGTTGCCCGCAGCCCCCCACGACCGATGCTTCAACGACCACCGCCTCAAGGACGACCACGGGCATCTCAACGCTCACCCGAACGGACCTTGTCGACTGCAACGAAGGCTTCTCCGACTGGGTGAACAGCTGGCCTGCCGACAAGAAGCAGTGGTGCTGTGGAACCGTAGGGTCGTCGGGGTGGCAAGCAAGAGCCTGAAAGCACGCGCCCGGCGTGTCCTCCCGCGCCGTCGGAGAGGGGAGGGCGCCTAGACCTAAGAGTGACCTCTGGCCGGAGGGACCTTTGGTGCGGGCCCAATCTGGGCTGGGCGAAAGGGGGGGGATTGGGAAAGGGGGGGGTACGAAATTTGCTGCATGCAGCTGGTTTCGGCTTCACCGAGGGGCCCATTCTTCGATACATGGCCGCCTCCGGCGCCGGGAGGCGCCGGGAAAATCAGCTACGTGAGCTGATTCTCGCCCCCCCCCTTTGCCATCCCCCCCCTTCCGCCCGACCCGACCAATTGCGGCCCCCCGAGCGCAGGACGCGACGCGATGGCAGCGGCTTCCGCACTTGTGCTTGGCCCCCCCGCGGCGCCCCCAAAGGCCGCGCACCAAAGGTCAGTCACTCTCACCCCGGGTCGCTCCTGCGTGCAGTCGAGGCGGGGCGAGGGTGGGCGGCAGGAGGACGCCGCCGGCCGCGGGGGGAGCGGCCGCCCTCGACGCGCCTCAGGAGGGGGAGCGGGCGGCCGGAGCATGGGAAGGGGCCCCCCGGGGCGCCCGCCGCCTCCCTTCTGGCCCGCCGCGCGCGTCCCCTTGCCAGGGGGCCCGGGGCCCCCGCCTCGGATGGGGGAGGGGGGGAAGCGAGGAAAGAGGGGAGGGGGGGAGTGGCAGGAGGGGGGAGGCAGATCAGGAGCGAAAGAAGGACGTACACGTACATGAATACACGCTGTTTTCGAGAGTTCGCATTGCACGAATGTTCGTATCACGCGGCACGTCTCGCGGGTCACGGGGCCGTGTTCATGTACATAGCTGGGCGCGTACGTCCTTTGTGGGGTCCCTAGCAGAGGGAGGGGGGAGAGCGAGGGGGAGCAGAGGTCAGAGGGGGCGGGGGAAGCGGAGACGGCGGAGGGGAGGCAGGAAGAGTACAAGGGGGCGCCGAGGAGGGGTCGGAAGATGATAATGATGATGATGATGATGATGATGATGATGATGATGATGATGATGATGATGATGATGATGATGATGATGATGATGATGATGATGATGATGCTGATGCTGATGATGATGATGATGATGATGATGATGATGATGATGATGATGATGATGATGATGATGATGATGATGATGATGATGCCATGGATGATTATGATGGTGCTGCTGCTGCTGATGATGCTGATGATGGTGATGACGAAGAGTCTGATGAGGATGAGCATGAGGAGGATTAGGAGAGGCCTACGAATTCTGATGCTGCTGATGATGGTGAGGATGATACTGATGCTGATGGTAGTCGCCCATGTGGCACGAGCGCAGGTTTGGCAACACGCGCCGTTCCGTCGGAGCATCCCCTCGTCCTGCAGGCACACGCAGTTGACCAGGCCCTGAACGGCCACTGCCTGATGAGGGCGGCAGGCGGACTGCTGGCGGCGCTATCTTCCATACGCGGAGAGCACGCACATGACCTGGTGCAGCCACAGTCACACGTCTGGCGCATGATGCACTACAACCCCCTCGCGGCCACAGCGGGGGATCGTCTGGAAGAGATTGAATTCGAATGCTCAAATTTTGATGCGACCAGTTCGTGGGCACAACGGAGAAACAAAGCGATAATGGAGCATTCGCGTAGTGGCAATAGAAGGCGTATTGATGCAGGCTGGCCCGCTGGCTCCATGACCAACACACCCACGGTCATTCTTACTTCCTGTTGGGCCAATGTACGACAGAAACATTTGCGCAAAGTGCACGTACCACCCGCTCACCTCGCAGGACGGGGGCTGGCTGTTCGAGTCCCCATCGACTTCGTGGGACTTCGCGGTGATAGGAGCATGTTGCTCACCACGACCCACATCAGTGAAGGCGATGCAAGTATATGACAGAACGGTCACAGCTCTGACGGACTGGCTTGGTCACGCTATCAGCCCGACACCGTCCCGCAGCGTTCCCATTGTTGGGGTGGATATGAACGACGGATTCGACAAATATCACGACGCGGCATTCGGCTGCGATTTTTTGTGGAGACAGCATCTGATTTTCCCGCTGGAGCACGCCGCGAGCACGCAGTTGGCAAACTATTCCGCGAGCTCATGAAGAGGCGCTTCCCATATGCGCCCACGACTGGGAGTGACACGGCCATTTGGTATGGAAACGACGGCGCTTCATCGCTTGTGGACTACATGGCAGTACTTCAGACGCTTTCACACATGACGCGGTTCGCGCGGCGGGTTTGCGATTGCGCCGGCGCGCCTGCGGCCGGCCGTTGAGGCTTCGAAGCCGACGTTTGCCGTCGGGCCCCTCTTCTTCGCCACCAGCGCAGCCGCGCGCCGTGGCTCCCAGGGGAGAGCGCCGGGGCCTCGCCGCGGGCGCGGCAGAGTCTGCGCCAGCGGCCCCTGCGCCCGCGGCGGGCCCCACGAGCGCTACTCCCCGGACGCGGAGTTTGCTCAATTTGCGCGGGCATGAGACCCAACCGCCTCTGGCGTCCCGTCAATTCCCCACGTGGCGCTCGCGCTCGAGCGTTTCTTCTTCGCGTGGGGTCTCCAAAGTGGCCCTTTCTTACCGTCCGTCGGTCCCGCGCCGGCGCGTTCCATCGTGCATCGGCTTGGGAGGTGTTTCTCCCGCGCATGCTATCGGCCGCGCGGCCGGGGCAACGCCTGGCCATTCGACGGCTGCGCGCGCGCGCCGGTTCCGCCTGCGCTTCGATTGCGGCTCGCGCCCAAATTCGCGCGGGCGCTATTCAGGAGGGAAAGAAACACACAGACACAATTATTCGTCGATTCCCCAGAAAATATGGGAAAATATGGGAAGTGGGGGGAAGACAGAAACCCAGAAAATATGAGAAAATATGGGGAATACTTTTATTTGTGTGTATTTATTTGTGTGTTATGGGGCCTCTTCAGCTATGCCCGACGATTGCGGAATGAAGCATTATCGCGGCGATGAGTTTCATGGCGGCTTGTCTCGGGGGCCGCGTTGGTCGCGCCTTCGCGGTTCGCCCGGCGCGATTCAATGGCGGGGGCTGGCGGCGCGCGGCGATTCGACGGCGCGCGGGCGTTCCATGATGATGTCCCGCGGCCCAACTTGAGGAACGCAATGTGCTGGACACTTTCGCATTTTGAAATCGTCGCGGCTCCTTGGGAGCCTCTGTTTGGTAATATTTCTACTCGATCAACTTCGCGGGCTACGGCGTTCACCCCGCCCCTCCCCTCGTCGTCTCAGCTGCTCCGCGAAAGCGCCCCCCTGGCCGCGACGGCGTCGCGCGCGTGGCCGCTGCGAGGGGGGCCCGAATCATTTCATCTCAATCAACTTCGTGGGCTACAGTATTCGGGCCCCCCCCGTTGTCTCAGCTAATCTGCGAAAGTTGTGCTCTGGCCGCGACGGCGTCGCGCGCTTGGCTGCTGCGAGGGGGGCGCTGTTGATTTCAACGCGTTCGTGCAATGTCGTAGTTCCTGGCGTGAGGTCCTGATCTTCGCCCCCGACGGCTTGCGCGCCTAGGCGGGGGCGCCCGAGGGAGAGATGGGAAAGGATAGCTCGTCGTCGGAATTTGTAATTCGATCGGGCTTGTCAGGAGTGTGGAATGCCCCCCCCGCCCCCCTCGCGCCTGCCTCCCGCCCGCGCTTGTCCCCCCTTCCGCAATGGATTGTTGGCCAGCTTGAATTGAGTGCCCTCTCGGATCGGCGGTGCGTCGTGGCTCTCGGGCCCCCCGCCGACGAGTCGCCGTTGACCGTCTGTGGGCCCCCGCCCCCAGCGTTCGGGGCTAGTTGTTCCTCCTGTAGGCCTTCAGGGCGAAGTAGCACCAGCTGGAACTCGCAGGGGTTCAGGCCCTGTCTTTTTTTCCCCAGCTGTTTTGTGGACGCCCCCAGAGTCCCATCCCCATCCCCATGCTGATGGTAATGCTGATATTGTTGATGATGGTAATGGTGATGATGCTGATGATAGTTGTGGTGATGGTGATGATGCTGATTGTGATGATGCTGGCGATGTGTGCGACGACGACGAGACGGTGGCGATGTGGATCGTGATGATGGTGATGATGATGATGGTGGACGTGGTGGTGATGACAATGACGAGGATGTTGACGACGACGATAGTGGTATTGCTGATGACACTGGCAAGGACGATGGCGATGATGGTGATGATAATGGTAATGAGGTTGTGGCGATGATGCTGTCCATGATAATGGTGATGATGATATTTGTAACGATGAATACATGATGATGTTGGTTATGACGATACACGGTGCTGATGTTGTTGGGGGTCATCGTGGTGGTGTTTGTGGTGACGTTGGTGGTGCTGTTGTTTTTGATTGCGAGGATGATGGCTATGATGGTGGTTATGATGATGGGCATGGCGAGTACGATGGCAATGGTGATGGTGATGCTGATGGTGATGATGGTGCTGATGCTGGTGATTATGATGATGATGATGATGGTGATGATGATGATGATGCTGATGACGATGATGATGATGATGATGATGATGATGATGATGATGATGATGATCGGGGGTACTGCGGCGGAGCATGATAACGAGGAGGCTGCGGGAGATTATGCAAGGGGAGCGGCATGACTCCGCGGTGGCCCGCTGGCCCGTCACCCGATCGGTGGGAGGGGCCACGCCCGCGCGGCCCCACCCATGTCCTCGGCTGCAGGCAAGATTGGGGAAACGCAAACATGGATTAGGGCGCGTGGATTGGTGACGGGTCTCGCTTGCAAGCGGAACCGACGTGCTCCGTCGCCACAAGTCCAGTGGCGGTGGCTCCGTGTTTCTGGGAGTAGGTTCGCCGATTCTTGGATCCGTGATCCACGCCAGCGCGTGCCCGATAATGAGGGCGGCCCGTCAGTGCAGTCACATTTGGGGGTGCGCGGCTTTCGTTGGGGGCGCGCGGGGGGCGGGTACAACCAGCGTGCGAAAGGCCGCTGCTGGCGCACTGCCCGGCGGGAGTCGGCAAGCCGCGCACCCAGGCCAACTCCTGCCTGCGCCACTTGGGGGGGGAAGCGGGAACGGGTCCGAGGTTCGAGGTTTTCGGGCGTCTCTGGCTGCTCCTGCAGGGCTTCCTTCCTCTGGACACGTTGCAGCAGCCGCGCTTAGCCGAGAGCGTTCCAGGGGCGCCCTGACCGTCCCGAGCGGCCGTCGGGGAGCCGAGTTGCGATCCCGAGGTCAGACGACGAGGATCTTTCGGGGCGGACGCGAAGTGAGAGGGGCAAGGCGGGGGGGCACCAGATCTGCTGCATGCAGCCGGTTTCAGCCCCGCCGCTGGGACGTGTTTTTGATGTGTGGCCGCTTCCGGGGCTTGAGTCAAAGGGGCGCGGGCTGCGGACACTGCTGCTTGCTGCTTGCCACGGCCCCGCCGCCCAGCGCCTTCCTGGATACCGTGGGGGCCCATGCCAAGGAACACCCTGTGCTTGCCTCAGGGGTGCCCTGGGGCTTCTCGGGCTTCGACGGTCTTGCCGTGGCAGGCGCGACGCTCCCACACCAAGAGCCGAGGGACGTCTTGATGATTCTCGGGGCTGGGCCTCTCGCGGCAGGTCTCTGGCGGCCGGGCCCCCGCTGCACAGCGCCGCCTTCGGCGCTGGGGGGGCGCCGGGGGCACCAGCTGCTGGCTGTCAGTCGGGCCTGTCCCTGCACAGGGGGAATCTTCGAACATAGTCAAACAATATGATGGTGCCTATCATTTAAATCATTTTTTGACCATTTTGGAAGATGTGTAGTTTTTTTTTTTTTGTTCTCTCTCTCTCTCTCTCTCTCTCTCTCTTTCATACATATATATATATATGTTTCGTCGAAAATCCCCCTGTAGGGGGACAGGCCCGGCTTAATGCTGGCTCCGACGCGCCGGCCCCGCCCCCGGCCGTCGCCCCCGGTCGTCCGACCCGGCCCACCCCCTGGGGCGGGCCTTCCCCCGGGGGCCTTTGCGAGCCGCCGTGGCCGCAGTCGCTCCGCGCAGGGCAGCTCTCGTGGCGCCCAGCACCCTAAGGGCTTGACGACTCTTCGCCAATCGACTTGTGGTGATCGAGCCAGATAAACCCAGGTAAATGCAGACAAATCCAGGTAAATGCAGATAAATCTAGGTACATTCAGGTAAATCCGAGAAAGTCCAGGTAAATCCAGAGATCTTCAGGGACATTTGGAACAAGTTGCGGCCGCTCTAGCGCGAGTCGAAGGACGGCAGAAGTCGTTAAGCCTTTAACGACCAGCACCGCAGAGTGGATCCCGCTCGGGAAGCGAGGGCGCCCCCTCGAGGGCGCGGCGTTCTTCGCGCCTCACGCTCCGCGGTGCGGCTCCGATTCCTCCTCATCCTCCTCTTCTCCCCTGGGAGGCGGCGCGAGAGCTCGAAGTTCTTCGCGCTTCGCGCAGCGCGAAGCGCGAAGTCGGGAGGCCTTGGTTTTGTTGGCCTGGTAGGACGACTACAAGACATCCACGTGACATTATTGTCGTTTTTCGCTCGCCGTTTCGGAGTTTTGCATAGAAATCCGCGCAAACATCTGCTGCAGCACGTCTGCAAGGTCGGTGCAGTGACATTGCTCGCCCACAAACCCCGAGTTCCCGCCCCCCCTTCCCTGGAAGCACCGGCCGCTCAGAAGGGAGGGGGGATTCCAGGTCACTCCCTTGGTGGGCTGTTCGGACGCACGCCTGTCGACGCTGGGCGCTCCCCCCATC